AGCCACACGGGCCAGGGCAGCTCTTCTCTGTTTTATGTATTTGAACATGCTTCCGAGTTTATGCTTTACCTTTGTGTAGTATTTGTGGTATAGCTCTCTTACACTTTCACGTGTTCAAATTGATCAATTTTAAGTTTCTATGTATTCATATTTATCAGTAATTTTCTTTATGGTGTCTGGGTTTTGTATCAAGTATAGAAATACTTACTTGGACCATTTTTCAGTAAACATTATGATCACAGGCCTTGCACCTATGAGTTATTCCAAATTCTGTAAAGATATTTGAAACCTGGAATAAAATATTTTTTGTTCCAGAAAACAAAAAGAAAATTGCAAAATATGAATTATTAAATGTTTAAGTGTCTACAAATTTAACCTTATACCAGCTTCATTAATTGTTAAATTTAGTGTTCACAAATATTTAATACATTTGCAATGAATTTATAGGACAGATTTTTTTTCCCATCTCACGAGAGTTCTTATGAAGAAATGTGATTACAGAGATTACGGAGCAATCACAAATTAAACAAGTTTTCTATAGCCAAACAGTATCAAGGAAAAACTACAAAAACTGTTTCCAAAAAACGTACAGCAGAAGATTAGAGTTATATGGGTTGGGCACGTTAAATATGTTTGGATGACTGACTAGACAGCCTCCAGAGGGATATCTGAGGTCCCAGGTCTAGGAATTGGCTTTTCCTCAGCTCAAAGTCCAAAAAAGAAAAAGAAAGGAAGGAAGAAAAATAGAAAAAATGGAGGGAAGGAAAGAAAGAAAAGGAAAGAGAGAAAGGACTGTGCTTTTTTCTAATACTAGTATAATTTTGTTATTTTTGTTTACATTTTGATTCATCAGTAATTTATTTTGATGTGAGATACACGAAGCTTTTTTTCGCTTCTAGTCAGGAAGCCAGTGGTCTCTCCTTCTTTTATTGAAAATTTTTTGGAAAACTACCTTCGGTCATAAGCTATATTCCCACAATGCCCGTCTTCAATTCGTGTTGGTTTTTTAAATGGGACAACAAATTACTACTTATATATGCAAGTTGGTCATCAGTACTCTTTCAGAAGTTGTTTGGATGGGGGAGACTTTTTTGGGGGAAACAACTAGCTTCTCTACTACCTTATACATGGGGCGTGGTGTGTGAAAATGTGTAAATTACATGTTTTGAGAGGAAAGGATTAAATGCTATAGATAGGAACAGAGACGTGCTTGAGGGTCAAAGAAGAGCACAGCTGTGCTTGCCAAGAGCACTGTGAGAAGTTTGGTGGAGTTGGGGACATTGGCATGGGGTCTTGAAGGGGCAGGTGTTGGAAGGCAGTGGTCTTCAAGCCAGGGTACCCATGCCCTTGACGGTATAAGGTCCAAAAGAGACACAACAGATGCGTTGAAGGTTCAATGTCCAGGTTTGTAGTCCATCTGGTCTCATTCATAAAACCCCATCAGCAAGAGTGCACAGCACATGGGACCCCTGAAACACTGGTCTTCATCTCCTACATCCCCCACAATTAAAAAAAAGACAGGCACCTCCCCCCATCCCTACCTTATTATGGAGTGTTTCTCTGAAATATAAAAAGCCCTCTGGGCCTAGCCAGTTTGGCTCAGTGGTTAGAGCGTCAGCCTGTGGACGGAAGGGTCCCAGATTCGATTCTGGCCAAGGGCATGTACCTTCTCACAGTGCTCTTGGGGAGCACAGCTGCTCTCTCCCTTGAACCCCAAGTACCCCTGGCCAGGGATCATGTGGAAGGCAACCAATCAATGAGTCTCTCTCACATTGATGTTTCTCTCTCCCCCTTCCACTCTCTCTGAAAAGCAATGGGAAAAAATATCCTCAGGTGGGAATTAAATAATAATAGTAATAAGTAAAAATAAAAAGTCCTCTGGGTCACAAAACAGACAATCCCTGATGTTGGAGTACCTGACCAGAAATTCATTGTTCTGGGGCCTAGGTGGCAATTTCTCTTGCAAGTGAGATCATATGCAATACTTTGCTTTCAACAAAATAGGAAGAGAAACTAATTAAGTTGTCAGCCAGTAGGTCATTAAAAACAGTTTTCGATATGTTCACCATGTACCTCTGTAGCATGATAATTGAGAAGTTCAAAGAGCGGAGTGATGATTCCCTAACAAAGCTCCTGCCAGCCCATCTCCGTATCTGCATAAATGAGCTTCCCCAGTGCTCTTATTTATAGAAATGAAAAGTAGGAATAGATTGGATTCTGAACTCTGTCTCATTCAAACAATGAGAATATTCATTCTCAGATAAGTGAACTAATTGGAAGGGGCGGGGGGGAACCTACACATCCTTGTAAGAAAGAGACACATTTCCAACCGGTTTTTTGTTTTCTATCTTGAATAATTGTTTATCAATTGTTCATACAGGTGTAATAACTAAGGGTAGCTTAAGCCAGGAAAAAGAACAAAAAAAAGAACACTCAGAGCCCTGTGGTCATTAGAAATGAAAACGAAATTAATCTTTCGATTTACATACACATTTTTGTGGCAGAGTGGTAGATGAGGTGATCGGTAAAAGACTCCTAAGCGTGAAAATATGTTCTATTGGGGTAAAATCCTGTGGGCAAAGTGGGAATGGAAACAGAAGTTCAAGGCGGAAAGGAATGATATAAAAATTTCAACTATGAAAGAAGAACTTGTTCGCATGTTTTTTAAGTGGAGAATGGTGAGTTTTAAAGATTCCATTGGGTTTTTAGATTCCATTGGCAACATTAAAGGGCGATGGAAGAGTTTATTTTAAAACATCAATATTTACAATACTCCAGAAATGACATCTTTTGCAGTTACCGAAGCATTTCATGTGTTTATTCAAAAAGGTGCAGAGGATACGTAGTTTTCAAAACATATTTTAGGGAGGAGGCGAGCAGCAAAATATTTGGAAGATGTTTGTCAGGAAGGTCTTTTTCTGATGGTGGAGTCATGATGTTTATGGATTTAGTGCAGAGACAAGGATTGAGGACAGAGGAGAGAGAGACACAGCTTGTGGAGCACAGTTCCCGGGGGAGACATGGCAGCTAAGGAAGCAAGCAAGAAGGTTTAGGAGAGAGGAGAGACAGGGCTTTTCCTAACCCTGGGGGGGGGAGGGGGTCAAGATGGTGACCTTGAGCTAGAGCAGGGGAAGTCCAAGAGGTGAGTGTGGATAGAGAATTGGACGCAGATGGCTCTGTATAGTGAGAGATTTTTGGAGACTCAGTTCTGAGGGAAAGTAGCCATGGTCTGCATTTTAAGGATAGGGGAGGGGATGCAACCTGGGCATATTAGAACAGCTTTATATTCTGTCTACTCCCAAATGGTTGAGATGGTCAGAGAGGAATTAAAGGATTGCCAGACATCAGAAAGAACCCCGTTTGAGGTCATTGGGCATGTTACTAGCATACTTGGTTGGTGTGCTTTGTCAGTGACGGGGTCCACTGGACTTGGGAGTGGCGAGGGGATTTGGAGGCAGGGCTGTTGGCTTTGTCCACTGTTTTTCTGGTTTCTTCTCTTTTTTCCATTGTACTTACCACCTTATAACATACTGTAGAATTGATTGGTTTTGTTTATTGCCTTATGTAGGATGTATGAGGCAGGGAGCTCCGCTTAGTTCACTGATGTATCCCAAGCCAGTAGAGCACCGCACAGCATGTAGTTTGTGCTCAATAAATATGTGTTGAGTAGGCATTCGGTGAACGAGCAGATATGTTTTTGTATTATACATTTATAATTTCCGTAATTGACAAAGTGATGTTCAGCCTGTAAGGGGGTTTATGTTGGTACAACTCGACCCATGGGGAAGAAAATAAAGTGGAACCCCTACCTCACACCATACACAAAACAAAAATAAACTTCAGGTGCAGTAAAGACCTGTGTGGTACGTAATTGAACAACAAAAACCTTGGAGTAAAATCTAGGAGACCAGGTGAACCATCTAGGACAGGGAGACCCTCTTAATTAAGACAGTAAACCCAGGATCTGTAAGGGGAAAATGGAGACATTTGACAACATGAAACCTTTAAAGAATTTGTGTGGTAGAAGGATAACAGAGTCAACAGACAAATGATAGACTTGGGGGAAGTATTTGAAATGTCAATAAGAACCAGTGGGTTATCTTTAGCACAGAAATCAAAGAACTCTTACAAATTGAACAGAACACTATTGGCATAGAATCGAATCTAAAAGGCCTATAAATAAATGCTATTTAGATAACCCTAGTCAGGGAAATAGAGTTAAAGTGTCATAAGTTATCACTTTACACCCATCTGACTGAGGAAAGTTAAAAGCGAGTGGTGTCTGTTGCTGGCAGGGATGTGGGGAAACGGATGTTCTCCTGCTGGGCTGGTGGAAATCTGAATTGTCACAGCCTTGTTGAAAAGCAGTTTGATGACATCCGTCAGGATTGAAAATGCAGACACCTTGTGGCTCTGCAGTCCCACTCCTGGGACTCTCGTAGAAATAAAACCACGATTTTGTAGTTAGAGATGTAAATAAACAAATGTTTATTGCAGTGTTGTTCACCATGGCAAAAGGCTGGGAAGGAAAAGTGAGCGTTCTTCGGTAAGGATCTGGTTGAGCACATTCCAGTATCATCCTCACCGTGGTGTGCCTGCAGCTTTGAGAAGGAACGCATTAGCCTAACTGTAGGGGAAAATGCTAGGTTAGTTACAGGAACTACCTGGGGAAAGTCATAGCTGAAATGCGAGGGGAAGGGGAAGGCAAATTAAAAGGGAGAAAATACTGCGCTCAAGGACGAAAAATGTGTGCTATAATCCCGTTCATGTAAAATAATGCCTGTGTGCCTAATGACATTTGAAATTAGCCTGCAGATTTATAGGCAAGTTAAAAAAAAGAGAGCATTGTGTCCAGAAAATTCTCTGTCTGATCCATGCCAACTTAGTATTTCTTTAGGATCTTTAAGCATTTTTGAAATGTAAATTCTAGGGCAGGTGGAATGAACATGTTCTGGGTTCTTTGTCCTCCCTCTCCCCTCCCCACCCCCGCCTTCTCTCAGCCCACGACGGCATCGTGATTAAGATCGAGGTGCAGACCAATGACGAGGGCTCGGAGAGCTTGGAGACGCCAGAGCCCCTGATGGGACAGGTGGAAGAGCACGGCTTCCAGGACTCGGAGCTGGGCGACCCGTGTGGGGAGCAGCCAGACCTGGACATGCAGGAGCAGGAAAACACGCTGGAGGAGTCCACGGAAGGCTCCGGCGACTTCAGTGAGCTCAAGCAGATGCTGGTGCAGCAGAGAAACTGCACAGGTCAGTAAGGGCCGGACACTGGTGGTCTGACAGGTGTGACAGAACCCCAAGCATGGCCTCAGGTATAGGTGTCCTGCCTCGGGGTTTATGAGCATCTGTCTCTGGGCTAGGGAAGGAGGTGTTAAAGCCAAACACTAGGTCAGATGAGGAGCCCTCCTTCTACAAGCAGGAGAAGGTCAAATGGATTGCCCAAGGTGGTGCAATCCAAAGATAGAACTTCCCTGTGCTGATGTGTCCTCGATTGTTCTTACTTCACGCTAGAAGTCTCACCTGACTTGAAAATCCCAACCCTTGGGGAGCATGTTTTTTTTTGTGGCTTTTTTTTAAATATATCTTTATTGATTTCAGAGAGAGGAAAGGAGAGGGAGAGAGAGAGATAGAAACACCAATGATGAGTCAGTCACTGATCGAGCCCACAACCCGGGCATATGCCCTGACTGGGAATTGAACCCCGATCGCCTGGATCCTAGGTCGACGCTCAACTGCTGAGCCACGCCCTGCCGGGCAAGAGAGCATGTTTTTTAAAATGACTGACTGTGCTTTTTCTGGTAGAATGTAGGCATCATTTTTATTTAATTATAAAATCTCAGGGTCACCATTCTGCATACCTGTGAGTCCGAGGAAAACAGTGGGGAAGTGGGCTCACATGGCCTCATCCCAACATGTCTTTTGTGGTTGTTTTCTGACATTTAACCATCCCTGAACCATCCTTGCGTTCCTGAGAATAGCTCTACCTGATTATCGTGGTGTTTTTCTTAAATACACTATTAGACCTATTAGCTACTTTCTTTTTAATATATTTTTATTGATTTCAGAGAGAGAAAGGGGGAGAGAGATATAGAAACATCAGCGATGAGAGTCACTGATCACTTGCCCCCTGCGTGCCTCCTACTGGAGATCGAGCCCGCAACCCAGGCACGTGTCCTGACCAGGAATCGAACCGTGAACTCCTGGTTCGTAGGTTGATGCTCAACCACTGAGCCACTCCACTTAGGGCCATAGTATCTTTCTTGAACACACTATTAGCTACTATTTTATACAGGAGCTTTACAGCTACATTCATAAATGAAATGAACCTGAACTTTTCTTGAATCGGCCTCATCTAGTGTTGGAAACAACATTGTACTAGACTTACCAAACGATCTGGGTAGCCTTTGCTCTTTTTTCTATATTCTGAAGATAATATATAAGATAGGAACTAAGTGTATTCTTTAAAATTTTGGTAGAACTCACTTAGGCTTTGGTTTGGATAATTTGTTTATGTGTGAAAGTCATTTGCCATCATATCAATGTACATATTATTTATATTTAGAAATATGTTCATATCATTTTAATTAGTTTTTAAAAATTTTTTATATATTTTAAAATTTTTTATTTATTGAGAGAGACAGACATGGATTTGTCGTTCCACTTATTTATGCATCATTGGTTGCTGCTTGTATGTGCCCCGACCGGAGATTGAACCTGCAACCTTGGCATATCGGACGACACTAAGCAACTGAGCTACCCAGCCAGGGCATTTTAGTTAGGTTTTTTTGTTGTAGTTTTTTTAAATATTATGTTGATTTTTAAAAGTTTTCATTTTATCTGTAGATAATTCCTCTGCAGTTTGCCTTTTTGCACATACTCATAGAATGTGGACATCCTTCTTGGTGAATAGATGTGGATCTAACTCATTTTTATTTTTATTTTTATTTTATGTATTTTTTTATAATATATCTTTATCGATTTCAGAGAGAGGAAAGGAGAGGGAGAGAGAGAGAAACATCAACAATGAGAGAGTCATTGATCGGCTGCCTCCTGCACGCCCCCGATTGGGGATCGAGGCCGCAACCCAGGCACATGCCCTGACTGGGAATCGAACCCCAGTCGCCTGGATCCTAGGTTGACTCTCAACCGCTGAGCCACGCCCAGCCGGGCTTATTTTTATTTTTTAAACTTTTTTTTTATCCTCACCTAAGGCTATATGTATATTTTTATTACTGCTTGAGAGAGAGAGAGGACAGAGAGGGAGAGACAAAGAGAGAAACATCGGTGTGAGAGGGAAACATCAGTTGGTTGCTTCCTGTACGCTCCCCAACTGGAATCAAATCTGCACCTTTTGGTGAACGGGACGACTCTCTAACCAGCTGAGCCACGGCCAGGGCTAGTTCCTTATTTTCAAATAACTACGTGGTATTTTAGAAGTCTTTTTAATATACCATGTTGTCTTTCACAACAGAACAGCAAAAGACACAAGGCAAATTGTGATTAGATGCTAAATTAGAGCTTCATAATAGAAATTCCAGATTGTCCTTTGAACAGTCCCCATTAATTCTAGTAGAACCTTAGAAAATTACTAAATAGTCCTTTTGGGATTCTGAGCCCTGAATTTTTGGGCCAGATGGTCCATTCTTACTTCATTAAGTAAAAACGACTCTGATGTTCAAGGAGAGTCTGAATCCTCCAAGGCCCATACTTTCCCATGCCTTTCATAAACAACCCTGGGTAGGCAACCAGGGCAACTAGTTACCAACCCCAGAAGCTGTTTCTTCCTTCCCTGTCTTCTAAGTATTGTGTCCCTAGGACCTTCTTGGTCACTTTCTACTAAGAATCCTGACAAGACCGAGGCAGCATTGTCTTATGGGGAGAGGCCTGAGCTAGGACTCAGCACATCTGTGTTCTCGCTGTGACATTGCATTTTTTGGGCTTCAGAGGACGAGTAGAAAGTGCCATGGCTTAGCAGTCACTAACAAACTTACGAGACCTTGGCCAGGTCACAGACACTGCCAGCTTCAGTTTCCCTGTCAGTTGAGGGGTTCAACTAGGTGGTTCCCAAATTGCAAGCTCTGAAAAGGTCTGTGACTTTATTTTCTTTATTTGGAAACATCACTTGACATCTCCACGCTTGGATGCCCCATGTCTGTGCTATTGGGATAGTTCTTGCTTGACTTGCCCTATAAGATACTGTGATTATGGAAAGAGAGAACATATGGAAAGAGAGGCGCTTTGAAAAAGTGCTTATTTGCTTGATTTTAAGAATTGCACAAATGCAGACTGTTACTGAGTCTTCCATCTCACAGGTGGGCTTGGAAAATGAGGGACTCTCCCCTGTCACACAAAGTTGGTCAGTGCGACTAAAAATAGAGTCCCCCATTAACAGTGTACTTATTTGTACCAAATAAGTATAAGGCACTTGAGAAAAGTCCAACAGGCTTGGGAGGCCACTCCTTTCTCTAGGACTTACATTCTTCTGGGCCACAGGAGCACAGTCTTATTTATTTTGGTCCTAAAGGGGGAAGGACATCCGGTAGTGGGAGTGTTTGTGGCACTCACACCAGGGCTTGTGGAAAAGGCAGAGGAAACCCCCTACTCCACCTTCAGGTTGGTAGGGCCTGACTGTGCAGGTGAGGCATCCACCTGTGCAGGTAGATGCTGCATGGGAAGGCCAAGTTCTCCGTCCTGGGGGGATGCACCAGCATGGGCTGTGGGCCAAGGAGGGGTTGAGGGCTGCAGATTGGGATGGGTTTTAGGGAGAAGAGAGGATTGGAGTGAGGTGTTAATTGATGGGCACGATTTGGAGACATGGAAAGGAGGGTGAGTCAAGGCACCTGAGGAGAAATCTCCAGCTGAGTCCAAAAAAGATGTCGCGCAGTGGGGCTGAGCTGAGTTCAGGTAGAGGAGACCGTAGGGAGGAAAGGTTGACAACTTGATGAGTCAAGACCCTTTGGATACGGGGGAAGGAACCCAACCCTTAAGTAGCTTAAATGAAAAAGTAGTGTTTATGGGCTCTGATAACTGGTAGGCTCACTCCTATGCCAACCTTAGGCACCTGGATCTGGGCTGCCCCTCCCCCCAGAGGGCTCATGTGCCAGTGTCCTTTCCTGCTGATTACCGCTCACTAGCAGCCAGCTTGGGAAATGGGCACCAGCAATGCCAGCTTCCCATCAGAGGACTCCGTCTTCCCTGCTTCCCCTGCGTAAAGTTCCCTAGAGAGGGTCTGGGCTCGTTGCTGAACCCAGCGGGGATGCTGGTCATGTACCAACCCCGTGGATCCATGACCACAGGCGGCAGGGAGTGGAAAGGGGTCTTGTACCCAAGGTAGGAATTGGCGCGGCAGTACCCATGCCCTGCTGCTGGGTGAGGGTGGAGCGGTGCTCGCCCAGATCCAGGTGACCCGCGCTAGGCAGCTGGTAACTTCTCGCTGTCTCTTCTCCCCGTGCCCGGCGGCGCAGAGGGCATCGTGATCAAAACCGAGGAGCAGGAGGAGGAGGAAGAGGAGGAGGAAGACGACGAGCTGCCGCAGCACCTGCAGGACCTCGGTGAGCTGTCGGGCAGGTACGGCGCCAGCATGTACCAGACCCCGCTGCCCGGGGAGCTGTCCCCCGAGGGCGAGGACAGCCCCCCGCCCCTGCAGCTGGGAAACCCGGGGGTGAAGAGGCTGGCCCCCGTGCCCCACGGCGAGCGGCACATGAGCGACAGCCGCGGCGCGGCGAGCCAGCAGCAGCGACACCGGCGCGGGGAGCGGCCCTTCACCTGCATGGAGTGCGGCAAGAGCTTCCGCCTGAAGATCAACCTGGTCATCCACCAGCGCAACCACATCAAGGAGGGGCCCTACGCGTGCGCCGAGTGCGAGATCAGCTTCCGGCACAAGCAGCAGCTCACGCTGCACCAGCGCATCCACCGCGTCCGGGGAGGGTACGTGTCTCCGGAGCGCGGGCCCGGCTTCGCCCCCAAGCACACGCTCAAGCCTCGCCCCAAGTCACCCAGCTCGGGCAGCGGCGGCGGCCCCAAGCCCTACAAGTGCGCCGAGTGCGACAGCAGCTTCAGCCACAAGTCGAGCCTGACCAAGCACCAGATCACGCACACGGGCGAGCGGCCCTACACGTGCCCCGAGTGCAAGAAGAGCTTCCGCCTGCACATCAGCCTGGTCATCCACCAGCGCGTGCACGCGGGCAAGCACGAGGTCTCCTTCATCTGCAGCCTGTGCGGCAAGAGCTTCAGCCGCCCCTCGCATCTGCTGCGCCACCAGCGGACTCACACGGGCGAGCGGCCCTTCAAGTGCCCCGAGTGCGAGAAGAGCTTCAGCGAGAAGTCCAAGCTCACCAACCACTGCCGCGTGCACTCCCGCGAGCGCCCACACGCCTGCCCCGAGTGCGGCAAGAGCTTCATCCGCAAGCACCACCTGCTGGAGCACCGGCGCATCCACACGGGCGAGCGGCCCTACCACTGCGCCGAGTGCGGCAAGCGCTTCACGCAGAAGCATCACCTGCTGGAGCACCAGCGCGCGCACACCGGCGAGCGGCCCTACCCCTGCACGCACTGCGCCAAGTGCTTCCGCTACAAGCAGTCCCTCAAGTACCACCTGCGGACCCACACGGGCGAGTGAGCTGCCCCGCGCGGCCGAAGCCCAGCCTGCCGGCCGGAGGCCTGAGCCCAGCAGGCGGGGCTCCCCCAGCCCCTTTGCTGTGAGCCCCCCCTCTCCTTTCGTCCCTCCTCCCAAGGACACAGGGGTCCTGAGACCAGGTCGCTTGCTGCGGTGTTTACCCGGGGCTCCAGGGGTGGGGAGAGCTCGGACCTGGGGAACCCCTTCGGGCTGTTAATTTCCTTGACAATAAAATGGATGAAACCAATCAGCACGGGGGGCGTGATTTGGCCGCCGGCCACTCGGAGGGGCGGTGCAGGGCCACTTAGTTGGGGATAGAACTTTATAATTACCTTTTGGATACTGTGGTTCTATTTGATAATAATAGAGTAATTTTTAAAAGACGAGCGTTTCCTGTTTGCCGTTTTTGTTTGGTTTTGAAGGGGAGGGTTGAGAAGGTGGCCAAGGGACACCATATGCCTAGTGTCAGTTGACAGGTTCTCTGGAGTCCCGTTCATGTACTCATTCCCTAGGTTGGATGGTGAAGGGGACACAGATCCCACCGATTATAAAACTCGAAGAGACGGGCCTAAGGAGCTTGAAGCAGTGAGAGCCTGTGGAAACCTAGGAGCTCCTGGCACCCTGATTTGGGGGACAGTGGGAGTTCAGGAGGGAGGCAGGAAGAGTGACTGTTTTGGAACAGGCTGGAAAGGTGGTCCTGCAGCAAAAGCTGGGCGCTTCCCTCAGGACCAAGCAGCCTTCCTACAGAACTTGAAATATGGCTGGTGGTGTGGCCCGTGGCAGGGAGGCGTAGGGAAGGGTGCAGGGGCCTCTGGTGCCAGTCTTTGGGGAAACCACAAAAAGCCTCATTCTGAATGGGTTTTAATTTGTATGTTGCACCAAAGCTACTCTCTTTAGATTTGTTACATGCACGAATGCACCCTGGCTTTGCTAGCTGTTCATTTCCGATTGCCATCCATGAGGCCTAGAGAAAATGCAGGCATGTTCCGTTGCCCACAGAGTGCTTGAATCTTGCTCCGGGGCTTGGCAGTGACCCAGAGAGAATTCAGGCAATTTGAAGGGACAATCCATGGAAGCTAGCAGAGTGCCAGACTCTGCTATGAACACTGGGGAGGCCAGACTTATGCTGAAAGCAGAGAGACTGACCTGAGACACAAGAAGGTAGGCAATTTAAGTCATGAGTCTGGGGGTGGGGAGGAGGGGATAAGACACAGGAGAATTGGAGGGAGGAGATGCTCCATTATTGTCTAAAAGGACCACAGAGGTCATCATCCTCTCTCCTGTCCTTACAGCGCTGCATAAACAAGCACAGAGAAGGGGAAGTGATACCCAAAAGCTGCCACTTGAAAGGATATGACTTCTCCGTTTACACTTAAAATTTGTAAAAGGATGCTAGGACATCAGGGCAGGCAGCCAGAGGATGGGCAGAGGCCTGGGCTGGCACAAAGGGCTGGAGAGGTGGCCAGTCTCAGCCCAATCTCCAGAACCAGCTGGAGAGGAGTCACATCCAGGAGCAGGGACTTGGAGCCAAGCACTCAATGCTCTGCTGACTACAGAAGGAGCTGGGGGAAGTCAGGACATCTCCATGGAGGTGGACCTGTGGGCTGGGACGATTCAGGAGATGAGGAAAATGAGGAAGGCCTCTGGGTGAGGGTATCCTCGAGGCAGGAGTGTGGAAAGTGGGCTCCAGTGGATGGAGGAACAGTGAGTGATTTTGGAGAGCGCTTGTGGAGAGAAAACAGTAAGGTTGTCTTAGAGTAGACTGGGGGTGCAGAGGGAGTCTTGGATCTAAGATTTCAAGACTGGAGTTTGAACTTGATCTCGTTTGAGAAATCATTGAAGATTGCTGAGCAGGAGAGAACATTGATGCAGATAGATGGCAAGAGACTGAACCTGATGAGGAAGGAACCCAACCAGTCAGACATGGAGAACCAGCCGTCGTCAATGGCCAGGTCATAGCGATGGCACTGCAGGCTGAAGGTGAAGGATGGCAGGGGAAATGGCTCTTTTGAATACCAGGGTGTTTGACGCCTCAGAGAAACGTTAGCAGAGATATTTTGAAAATATTTGGTGGAGGGCTATGGCTGCTCCAAATCTTGACTAGTCCTAGAATTTGAGGACCAAAGAGTGCTGGAGATGTTCTGACTGGAGTGAAGGACCATGGTGCTTGGGGGTGAAATCCAAGTTTCTACTCAGTAACTTCATTTGTTACCCAGTTACCAAGAATGGTTCTTTTCTAGGCATCTGGTGTCTAAAGGAGTCAGTATAGTCAAAGACTGATACTTCTGTGGAGCTGGGTTGTCAGGGGGTCTCTGCCCCTATCTCCCCTTCCTGGGCTCTAACCCCCTCTTCAGGCCTCTTCCTTCGAAGGGCCCGGCACCCTGTACTCCAATTGTCCTTCCCCTCATCCTGACACCTCGATACCGTCATGATTCTCACTTCCCACCTGCCCCAAGTTCCATAGCGGTCCGAGGCCAACATCTACAGAGGATGGTCGCCAAAGTGTGGACAGCCTCTGGGGTCAAGCAGATGTGGATTTCAACTTAGTCGTGCAACCTTGCAGAAATTAACAGAATACCAACTTCCTCCTCTGTCCAGCAGGAATGAATGACAAGTTCCCATTGTTCTGAGGCTTAAATAACAAAGAATAAATACATAGCAAAGGCATGGGCACCTACTAAGGTTTCGGTAAATTTCATTATGAGCTTCTAGCTAATGACAGTTTAACTTAGTAAAAACAGAAGTTGGCGTAGGTTGAGGGCTGGCATTGTATTTTAAAAGAACGAATCTCTGAAAAGGAAATTTCCCCAGCAGGCAGAAGCGGAAAATTATTTCCATCTGAGGAAGTTCGAATCGAACTGTACTTGGTCGTGATGTCACAGTTGGGGGGTTTCAAGTCACCTTGCAGCCACACACCAGAGTTTGCGGTGGTAGCACCCTCCTTACTGAGTGTCTTTCAGTGCTTCCCGAGGGTGCCCTTAATTTCATTAGAAAGCCAGGCTCTCAAACTCCTAAGTTGCCAGTTGCCACTGGCCCCGTGGAGCTGTGTGGCGGAAAGATCAATTGCCGTTCACTGAGCACATCCTACTTTGGAAGACTTTGCGTACATCATCTCATAACCCTGGTGTAAATGCATCGTTTTATAGGTGAAGGGCTTGAAGCTCAGAGAGATTAAATAGGCCCAAAGTCACACAGCAACCAAATGGTATAGCCAGGATTTGAACTCGTTCCTTTTTTATGCCAACGCCCATGTGCTTGGCCACAAAGTTCTTTCCCCGGGATCCAAATGGTTACTGAGAAAAGCAAAGCCAGGGCCTCGTTCAAATTATGCCATTTTATTCTCAGATTTTAAAATTTATGACAAAAGGAAGGAAAATGTATCAAGCAGAACATGCTCTGTGCCATGTTTGTCAAAATTATGAATGTAGTAAGGAAATTAAAAAAATTTAAGAGAAGTTGAGACGGAGGAGCAGGTTGCCTGTGCTGGCTCGTGCATTCACGGGGTCGGCGACAGGAGCCGGACCAGGGCCTGGCACCTTAGGGATGCTCATTGTCATATGGCCCCCATACTTACTAACATATGGGTACAAAGCACTGCACTGCGCTCCATGGAGAAACAAAAAAGGACCAGGAAGCCACCCACTGCCGTGGCCACACTCAGAACCTGGTGGAGATTCGGTAGCTTCATCCTATAGACTCGGCCTTTGGGGGTCTGGAGAGCCGGGGCTGTCATGGGGACCTGCAGGCTCAGGTGTACTTGCAGAAAGAGCCACACCTCCATCTTTTCTCTGTCCCTCCTGTTAGGGGAGCTTTAACCAGCCAGGTGTCTGTGGGGACCTCTCCTGAGGCAATGTGGTAGTGGCTCCTCAGATTAAGGGATCAGGGCCAGAGGCCTTGGGGGCCCTCCTGTTGCCAGGGCAACGGTGAGTCAGGCCAAGGCCTCTCCTCCAGCTTTCTGGAAGGCGTTTTGGCGCTGAAGCCTCTTGCTGCTTCCCAGGCATAGTGGGAACTTCTAGGTTTAAATTTAAAAATCAATTCTGCACTTGCCGCTTCTAGCTGGGTTCCTTGAAATGAGTATTTTTTGTTAAAACATAATAGAATCTAACGCTTTTATTTCTATTTTCTACAAAGGGTAATTCCAGGCTAAAAGAATTTTTGGAAGGAAGGAAGGGAAGGAGGGAAGGAGGGAGGGAGGGAAGGAAGGAAGGGAAAAGGGAAAGAAGGAAGGAAAGGAAAGAGGAAGGAAGGAAGGGAGGGTTAAACCAAATAGTACTGAGAGTGAGTGGCCTTATGTGAAAACGCCCGGTAAGCCGTCAGACCCTGGCCTTGAGTTTATTGGGGGTGATAGTCACTATCACTATGATCCATTGGGTCCTACCATGTTCCGGGCACTGTGCTGGGTAAGCGCTGTCCTACCATTTTCTCTTGTGACAACCTGTGACATCATATCCGTAGCCCCTTTTACAGATGAAGTTCAGAGCGATTAAGCAATTAGCCCGAGCCACATGGCCAGCATTTAAACCTAAGCACGCGCTGTTAACTGCTGTTATATACCGCCTCCCGATTTCTTCAACGTGAATCCTTAATAAAAAACACAAAACAGTACTATTCCTCTCCGACGTGCAGCTCGGCCTGTCCTGTGGTCACACCGTGTGCAAGGTCTGGACCCGGCTGAAAGCAGACCGCTCGCTGGCTGGCCCGTCCAGCAACGTCGGGACTGGGACCCAGCTCACCTAACCTGCCTAGAGTGGATGTGGCTGGGTGCCAAGCTAGCCCCCCATTTTAAACTGAGCTTCTCTCTTCCTGAGGGACTTCGGGAAGAGGCGATCTGTTAAGGCAAGGGGCTGCCCTTCTGTTTGTCTCCGATGTTGGGACCTAAAAGGGCCTTTGTTTAACAGAAAAGCACTCAAGCGGAAGAGATTATAAGGAAAACGCACCTGTACCCTAATAAAGTAGCACTCACACCGACTCTAATCTTTCAGGCTTATGCTGCCTCTTGGGGTTCTCCCCATTCCTTCCCCACGACCACACGAATGAAAGTCACTGCTTCTCTCTATAAAATAACAGCCAAGTTCTCAAACTCAGACTGTAAGACAGAAGCATCACTACTGCCTATTAACTGGGGTAATAGAAAGTCGAGTTTTAATGACAAAATGTACCTGTGAAAATTATCCTCACAAGTAATGTTATTTAAATTGCGAGTATCAGGATAACAGTTTCCTTTTAAATCAGTAGAGTCTAATAAGTGTACAGCCTTTTAAAGGACCACATTCAATCAGTCCTTTATTTTCCAGATACACAGATACTAAAGTTACACCCTCCAAAGATTGAAATCGATTGGATTTAAGCTAAATTCAATTAAGAAAATTAAACAAGTTATGAAATGAGACGTTTACCATTCATTCTTCTACTGAAAATCCAAGGACAAGATTCCATGATCAAATTTTCTGCAGGTAAATTATTTATGCAAATTCTGAAACCTAAAATAAAAATTTTATGTCCCGTAGGATCTTCACGGCATTCACCGTCATCACTGACCATCACCACCTCATTAATTTTGTCCAGAGGTAAAGGCCATAAGTTACGCCCTGAGCAGTTTAATAACAAATGTCCCACTAAGATGATGATTATTCCTTTCCCATTTTAACCCCGTGGTTTCCTTTGTTTATCTCGAAGTACCAATGCCTTACCAAGCCAAAGGTCCGTGATACATTTTAAAATAAGGCTAGAAAAAATTAAATCCTAAATATTTCAGACTACCACTAAAAAAGCAAGTCAGGCCAGGCTGGCGTGGCTCAGCGGTTGGGCATCGACCAATGATCCAGGAAATGGTGGTTCGATTCCCGGTCAGGGCACATGCCGGGGTTTCGGGCTCGATCCCCAGCAGGGGGCGTGCGGGAGGCAGCCGATCAATGACTCTCATCATTGATGTTTCTCTCTCTCCCTCTCCCTTCCTCTCTCTGAAATCAGTAAAGATATATATATATTTTAAAAGCAAGTCAGTATCCAGACCCAATCACACCCACCTCCAGTATATTTGATGCAAACAGTAGACATATTAAGAAGAAATAAACACGTTTTTCTTGCCCAAGTTTCTGCCAGTTCTTCAGTCCTGGAACAGCATAAACTGGATACAAACTTGCGTGGGTTTCATCTTACCAAAAAGATTAACTCGGTTAAATAATCGCATAACAGAATTTCAGAATTAATTTAAAACCCTTTTTCCCCCAAATAAAAGTGCCATTGTTGGGTTTTTTCTCACTCTAAAGGAATTTCTGAGTTCCAAATAATAAAAACTTATCTTAGAATTGAATGAGTCCCTTATTTCTCCATGACAAGGTATCAAATCTCGTCCATAAATATAGCACAATAAATAATTTTATTTTCCACCCAGTATGAGGACTTTTAACCATCTCCACACTTGTGAACTTGAGTGAATTACTTAAGAGTTCCTCTATATTTTAGATTCTAAAATATAATATTAGAAACTAAATCTCTAATATTACATTTTAGAATCTCTTTTGGATTCAGGACACGGAATCTTCATCAAGTTTACAGTGATCAGCCAAATTTTCTGGGCTTCATGTGTCAGTGTTTTTGAGCTTTTGTTTTTAGCCTCAGTATCCCTTGTTTAAATAAAACCATTCTCACCTGGCCGGGCGTGGCCCAGCGGTTGAGCATCGACCTAGGACCCAGGAGATCGAGGTTTGATTCCCCGTCAGGGCATGTGCCCCGGTTGCGGGCTCCACCCTCGGCAGGGCCTGCAGGAGGCAGCCGATCAATGACTCTCTCATCATTGATGTTTCTCTCTCTCTCTCCCTCTCTCTGAAATCTATAAAAATATATTTATAAATAAATAAAACCATTTTCAGAAGGTACCTATGTAAAATAATTGGAGGCAGAGGGGCTGGCATTGGTGGATGGGAGCTAAACCCACCTGATCGGCCCTCTCTGGCGCCCGGGTGCCTTTCTGAGGGGGTCTCCTGGGAGGAAGCTGTTTCAAACCCCCTGCCCTGGGCAAGTCCTGCCCACCCTTCTCCCTTGCTTTAACTTTCCTCCGTCTCCCTCTGAACCCCGTATGTGCAATTTATCCAGTGACACATGCCGTGATTACCTAATTCTTTGATAGAACACAGGTTTCTCAAGTTGATTTCCTCCTTTTAGGGTACACCTGCATTTCTCCTCTCTATTACCTCTACATTGCTGGGCAGATGGTCTCAGCAGACAGCAGGGAGTCCCTGTAACCTCATCTGTGAATCTAGCGAGCTGACACCTACCAAGAATCCCTGGAAGACAGGGGAAATAGCAGCACAGATGTCCAGAAAAGCCCCGTCAGAAACGACAAGGATCCCCAAAGTTATTTTTACAGCAAACGCCTGCAAGGGAAGATTCAGACACAAGTGACAGCCCCGCAGGACCCCGGGGGACACAGCCTGACTGCGGGCAGCTTTCAGGGGCTCCCTCCCTGCTTTCCTGGGCTGGGTGGCCTGTGTACTTCATGTTCCCAAGGGCTTGCTCCTGGGTGTGGCCCTGCAAGGTACTCCATGAATGTTAAACGGAGGGGCATAAAAAGCCACAGAGGACAGTGCAGCGAGAGACAGGTAAAACCCCGCATCTCTGCCCCGCTGGGCTGCAGGTGGCTTTCTTCATTAAAGCGAATCCCAAAGCTTTGAAAGATATAATAAAAATGTATCATTTTTCTCTGCTATTTCAGCCCAAATGTTAGGTAAGAGCCCCCGTGTTGCTGCCCAATCCTCTTACCACAGTCACAGGGTGCCTGGGGTGACGACAGAAGTCCTCTGGGCTGCTGGGCCTCTGAAGTGAGGTCCCCCAGCCCCCTGAGAAGGGGAGCTGAGCAGCAGAGCCAGGCTGCAGGGAGACGGCGCCAGTGGCATCTCCTGGCATCCAGGGCGCCCTGCCACCCTGCCTGGGCGGGCTGTGAGCTGTCGCGTCGTCACTGGCCCGCGGCACAGGCGTTCCCTCGGGTTAGGTCGCCCTGCGCTGCAGCGCCTCCTGCTCTGCACGCGCACAGCCCAGCCCTGCGGCGTCGGGACCCCGGGAAGCGGCCTCCCCCAGGCCCAGGCCCCCTCCAGGCCGGCCCTGGAACCCGCAGGGCCAGGTCCCCACGGGGACAGCCCTGTCCTGCCCTCAGCCTCCTTCGCCCACCCCCGGGCTCCATCCACCCCTCGTCCTGGGCCCGAGCGCGCTCCTGGGAAATGGGGACACGCAGTGTCTGTCCCACAGGGGCGCTGGAGGCGATGCTGCGCGACGACGGAGGCTGGGATGAATAAAAACCGCTCACTATCTATCTATATTTTTTTAATTTAAAAAATGTATTTTCTAGAGATGTGTATTTTAAATAAATGAATATGTACTTTGCAAATTTAATTTTTAATGACTTCGATTTTTTTAATT